GCTAATTTTTGTATTTTTTGTAGAGGCAAGCTTTCCCAGTGCTGGCCAGGCTGGTCTCCTACTCTTGAGCTTAAGCGATCTACTTGCCTCAGACTCCCAAAGTGCTGGGATTCAGGCGTGACCTGCTGTATCCAGCTTATTTTTGTGATTATTACATTTTTAAATTTTTTAAATGTATTTTTTATTTTTCTGAGATGGAGTCTCACTCTGTTGCCCAGGCTGGAGTGCAATGGCCCGATCTTGGCTCACTGCAACCTCCACCTCCTGGGTTCAAGCGATTCTCCTGCCTCAGCCTCCAGAGTAGCTGGGATTATAGGCCTGCACTACCATGCCCAGCTAATTTTTGTTTTCTAGTACAGATGGGGTTTCATCATGCTGGTCAGGCTGGTCTCAAACTCCTGACCTCAGGTGATCCACCTTCCTCAGCCTCCCAAAGTGCTGGGATTACAGGCATCAGCCACCATGCCCAGCCTCTTTGTGATTTTTAAATGTCAATTTAACTTGATAAACTGGGGCTTTCTTTATCCATCATATTGAAATATTACTAATTTATCTCTTCCATAATCCCCTTAGTGGCATTACTTTCTTCTCCTTGACACCCAGACTGTGGGAGTGTTAGAGAAATGGGGAGCTCCCCAATAAAATCATAATTGTGTACAGACTGGAATTTTCCCCCCTTGCTTAACCACTCCCTAGTGCAACTTAGCACCTCAGGAGTATGTCATTGGAATAGCCATACTCACAGAGGGTCTAGCTGTAAACAGATAGTAGGAGAAGCTATATTTTTTCTTCTCATAAAGGATTTACCTTGATCAGGTCACAATATTGTTAAATGAGGGGCCCATGAACTCATGCCCTTTTTTTCAAAAGTAATTTGAGAAAATTAAAAGCGATAGTAATTGGCAAATGATATTTTAAAACTATATTTATTTTACCTGAAATCCTGCTTTAAGTCCGTTGCAAATTGAAGTGCCACCACGAGCTTCTTGAGGCAGGTTTGCAGTGATCATTTGGTAAGTGTTATCATCAATTATTTTTATGAGATTATTTTGGATTTGAGCATGACTGTCAAATGTGACCATCCCAACGAAGGACCCTTTTTCAATAATTTGAATCAAGTACAGTTCTGCTGCTTGATTCATTCGAAAGAGACGGTCTTCCTATAAGAAAAAGATGTGTGAATAACACACAAGACTCTCCAAATCTTAATGAATTAATGAACAAATCATTTATGGGCCATAGATCATGATAATAATTGATTGGTTGTATTTTAAAATTTAGCTTCTTCAATTTAAAAATTTTAAAGAAAATTAAAAAAAATCAGTTTTACTTGGAAAAGCCTTAACAATCTATACATTTTTATTTAATGGTTTTATATTGAGGATTTTATCCTAAAGAAATAATCTTAAAAATACATAAAAAGATATTCATTTTAATAATAACAACTGAAAATCTCCCAACTGTCCAACAACAGGGGATTGCTTGATTAAATTATAGTATGGGCATGTTATATAACCACTAAAATTATGTCATGGAATCATTTTTTTTATGGGAAGTATTGAAGGTATATTAAGTAAAAAAAATCAGATTCTGAAACATTATATAAAATATATTTTTGAGGAGGACAAACAAATACATTAGCAAAGAAAATACTAAAGTGTTGTATTTCCAGTGACAGAATTATGGATGATTTTCATTGTTCCACTATAATTTTTCTAATTAGAATTAAAAGCTAAGGGATATAAATTATTCATAATCCAATAACCTTAATATAATAACATTTTTTTTTTTTTTTAGATAGAGTCTTGCTCTGTCACCCAGACTGGAGTGCAGTGGCACAATCTTGGCTCACTTCAACCTCCAGTGAGGTTGCAACCAGGTTCAAGTGATTTTCCTGCCTCAGCCTCCCAGGTAGCTGGAATTACAGATGTGCGTCACCACACCCAACTAATTTTTGTATTTTTGTAGAGATGGGGTTTCATCATGTTGGCCAGGCTGGTCTTGAATTCCTGACCTCAGGTGATCCACCCACCTCAGCCACCCAAAGCACTTACAGACCTGAGCTACCATGCCCAGCCTACAACATTTTTATGTTGGCATATTGTCTCTTAGTACTTACCTATGTAAAATTATGTACTAAAATTTATTAAATATAAATACATATGTATGTTTGTTACTAGAACTAAACCTAACATATTTCCATCAGCTTAAATGCTTAATACTGATATTTCTAGTAGCTTAAATACTTAAGTAATTTAAGACAGTTAACCAAAAACTATCTTACTGCAGCCATGCTTCCAGATTTATCAAGTACCAAACAGACTACACGCTGTTTGGACTTGAGCAATGAAAATGTAGGATGAGGTGGTGACTTTATTTCTGTCATGGGAGATAAATCCTGAAAATCTTCAGAGCGCATGATTATATCCCACGTGCTTTTGTGATTGCACATTTTGTTCTGTAGGTTTGGAGCTTCTGTATTGTGTGTTTCTTCAGTACAAAATTCAGTCACCTGGAAAAAAAATCAATTAGAAGACAAGATTACAATAACTTGTGAGGCATCAAATATGGAGTTATCTGTCATATATATTCTCCACAGATTTTATCTCCTGATAGTTAAAAACTACTTTATAATCTAATGTTTTGACATCGATTTTGCATAGTTGAATGGAACAGAAGCAAGGTAAAGCTATCAATACGTACTGGTAAAAAGTTTTGGTGATACTTTCGGTTATAGATAATCAATGGGAGACTGTGGCAGCTGGCGTGACTGCTTAAGTTAACTTCTTATTTTCCCTTCTAAATTTGGGGGAGCTCAAGCCTTGAATTAAGTTTGAGGAAAAAGGGGCAGGACTTGTGATAATTTCTAGCTACCCCCTAAAAATGCTATAGAGAAAATGGCCTTCTTTAATTGTCTAGGTATGTCCCATATGTTCATAGTTGATCAAAAAACTTGAAGACAGCTATTCTACAACTTGGATTGTTATTGACTCTGCCAATATCGACATAAATAAAATAATACCCCTGAAAAAGTAATGAAGGTATAGGGAGAAAATGAGGAAATGTAATTATTTCTCTTTTAGAAGCAAGTGGTGAATTGTATCCAGTAATTCTGCCAATGAATATTTCATTACTATAGAATCTGTAAATATTTTTAAAGTTTTAAAATGTAGTAGCTTGGAAAAATGATCTCACAAACTAGGGTGTCTCCAAGAAGGAATTCATTTTGCTACTGCAAGATGAGTCTCAGCTTACAAGAAATAGTTTTGGTAGTGTCATTTCATTATTTTAATGCCCTTCCAATGTGCAATCTCCAGATGCAAGCTCAGAATTTGAAGAACTAAATTATTACATTTTGATATCCTTTAAGTTTGTGTGTGTGTGTTTTTGACGGAGTCTCACTCTTTTTTTTTTTTTTTTTTTTTTTT